AATCTTAAGGTAAGTGGTTAATGCCTCAGACTAAACTATGCATTATGTATTGTCATTTCCAAAAAAAAATTTTGCCTTTCTACTTGCACAAGTAGATAATTTAGCTTTCAATTTTCTATGAACAATACTTCCATTTAGTTGTTGAAAAAATACAAAAACCTGGCCAAAAACTTGGAAATTGATTTCTAGGTTCTCAACTCAATAAAATTGAACATCGATTCTTATATTCTCTACTTAATGAGGTGATTGTAATATTACCTTCTGAAAAAGGCGTAGATGTAGTATTAGGTCTATTTAGGTAGAAACTAATTTGAATTTTTATGTAGAAAGTAAGTGAATTTGGATATTAGTGATTGTATAAAGTAAACTTTGTGCTTTGACGAGGGAATTATTTGTTGAAATGAATACCAGTTATTTAAAATCAAATAGAATTTGATGAGAAAATCATATGATTACGAATGGAAGAGAGCAGAAAACAAAGATGAAAATATTGTTTCGATTTATTTGTAGCATAGGAAACTCGGCCAAATCAATCGAGTCTCCCAAGATACATTTATAAGTTTTAGACATCAAGAAACTCAGCCAATTGACCAATATAAGAAATTTTACAAATGAGACATCAATTAAGATGTCTAATTAGTTATTTATGTCTTTTAGAGAGAGATTCTCTCCATGACTTCCATTTTCCTTAATTTTGCTATTATAAACTATTACAGAAGTTCTCTATATAACTTCTCTTTTCCTATAATTAACTATTAATTTTTCGTTAATCTTGGTTAAGAGAAGACATTGAATTTATTTGGCTATAAACTTGTCATAGGTCAAGAGTTATTTTTGTATTCTATTGTGTGGGTAATGATGAAATTATACATAATTTCCAATATATATAAATGTTAACAAAACAACACTAAGCTTCTCTTTGGGTACAATTCTTATTTTGTTGTTGCTAACCACTCAAGCAGTTTGGAGTGAACAAACTTGGATTATAGATAACTAAATTTAATTAAAAGAACACTCTACTTAAGTTGAGTTGCATGATTCATCTTTTAAATTATTAGGTTAATTTAAGTCTATTATATCATGGCAAAAAAGAAAGAACGTTTGATTGATTTTGTGACAAGAGTGCAACAACAATAGTTATCACCACACAGCATACTCACACAATAGTTGGAGAAGATGATGACAAGTACAATCGCTCAAATGGAGGCAAAAAAATATCTGCTCAAGAAAGTATAAAGCAAGAATAAGGTTCTCAAGATAAAAATGATGCGTCAAAAGGCATCAAGAAGGGGTCCAAAGGAAATTGGAAATATTCAAACTTGAAGATGAGGAGTTCTTAAATTACCTATATCAACATGTGATAATTCTACTTTTGGTTTTGTTGAAAGTATCCAAATCATGAGTTTATTGGTGAACTATTATTTCTAATTCTTGATTATTGACTATTTGTTTAATTATTTTTAGTGAATACTAAATAATGTATATCATTTAACTTATAGCCGGCATATAACTAACAAAAAAGAGTTCAAAAACTTGTCTACCAAAGTTGACAAAGACATGACGCATCTGTATAATTTATTGGAGTTCATGATTTTTAACCTGACCAATGAATAATATTTGATGCTCGAAATGATCTACGTATATATGCATGTATGCATCAATTAGTAATATAAAAAAAAAAATTATAAAAATACATGCCACGATCTCAAATAAATTCTTTTAACGCCACCAATATTTTTTTTTAAAATCAATCAAACAGACAGCACTGGCGTAGAATACGACAAAACAAAATCTCTTTTCTTTTCATCTCTCTCTCTCTCTCTCTCTCTCACCGACGAAGTCCAGAGTTTAATTGAATTCAAATTGTCAGTTCCCCTTTTTCTTCTAATTCCTCCCCCTTTGATCCTATAATTTACCATCTTAATACCCCGTCCTGTAATCTCATATGTTCGTATGGATGTAGGTTTCCTTGAGTTATTCTATATAATTATTTGATTTTTGTATGCAGATATTTTTATGTCCGAGTCTGGTAAGGAGCGATCAAGGCTAGGTGGTGGTTGTTGTGGCGGTAGAAGTGGCGATGACGAGGACGACGGTGGTGATTGAAGAATGAAAATGAACATGGGTGTGAAAATTGTGGTAAAAGGGGCAAGAGGGTGGCCCTATTTCGATTCAGAAAGGTTAAGAAACCGTTCCAAAGGAGGAATAAGAAGTCTAATTATTCTTCTAATTTAGGCAAGAGGGTATGTGGTGGTGGTGGTGGTGGTGGTGGAAGTGGATGTTACTTCTGTTTGAAGCAACCTCAGACTTTGGATTCCCCTGGTGAGTCTCAGACAAGAGATCCTAACAATCCGGAGTTTACTTATGAGATATTAGGGCCTGTGATTGAGAAGAATGATTTTTATTCTAAAGAATGCAATACCCATTTGGATGATATATAGAGTTTGCCCCTCTTCTTCGCGTATGGGAAGTAAAAGAGAACGAAAATTTTGGAAAAAGAAAAACAAAGCTTAAGTGATTCATTCATTCCCCAGTTTTGGAATGTTTAATGGCTGTGTGCATTCGTTTTTTGGAAATTATTTCAGAGACTTCTAAGGATACCCAGGTCGTTAGAATCAATGACAAGTGTCCTCTGTGCATTCATTTTTAGGAAATTATTTTAGACGCTTCTAAGGGTAACCCATGTCGTTGGAATCAATGACAAGGATCTTCTGTGTGGTTCTATGATTAATATCAGCTAAAAGAAGATCAAGATTGTATGTAGTGAAATCTTGAATTTTTGGGGGCTGCATACAGGTTAATGAAAACCTCTGGGGGCATTCTGATGGCTTGGAATTTCATTTCTACAAGTTCAGTATAGGAAGGTGATCAAGATTGAATACATTGGGTTCACTACAAGGGGCTCTGTAGTTGCTATTGCAATGCCGCTTAGTTGACATTATTCATTTCGGATAATGGGATTTTGGCTTGTGCTTCTGTATATATACGGAATTGACCAAGGAGAATAGGTGGAGGCAAAGTTCCAACTATTATCTTTGGTTGGAAATTCATGTGCAAATTTATGCAACTCGAAAGAATTGGTTCTCTGTGGCCGACGTATATCAGGTTCTTCCAACAATGTATTCTTTGAAACTATATTATGTATTTCTTTATCCTTTATGCAACTCGTTCTTTTTTATTGTAATATAGCATCATTATGTGTAAGACTTAGTTTTAGAGTCCAATATTCAGAATCGAATCATTGAGTTTTGCATCTTTTTAAACTTAGTTACGTATTTTAAAAATCCTGAATTTGTTATCTTCTTGAATTGAACTTTCTCTAGTGGTTTACTTTCATTCTTTTCTACTCGCTGGTCCGTAAGTAACAAGGAGGTTTGCCATTTATTGAACATGTTTGGAATTGTATTTACAGATTGTGTGATCTGATGAAGAGATGATATATATAAATATAGTTCTACTTCCAGTTCTTTAGTTTTACAACATGACTTGCCAAAGGTGAAGAGAGATTGTAGCTGTTTAAACCGGAATGCTACATGATCTTAATGCTTGGTGTGATAGATACCAGTATCGTAGAGACCCCAAATTTCCCATGACCTATGGTCACAGACCCATAACGAGATGGGTTTGCTACCCAGGCCGCTAAAATTACTGACCCCAAAATGTAACTCAAACCAATTAATCTTAAATGTAACGCCAACGCCAGAATGTTATTTCATTGTTTTGATGATCCTAACACTTGTATTTTGATTTATTGTGATTTTCATTTTTTTGTATACCCTGTATGCAATCAATAGCTTTTATTATTTAGAACCACTAGCCGATACATTTCTTTGGATTATGATTCACTTTAGAACTCTTATTAGAAATACGAAATAAATATTACATTAAAATGTATCTAGATGTATACTTTCATATAATAGGAATAGTGATGCAGATAAGATTTACAAAGTGAACCATGATCCAAAACAGAGTACGAACTATGTCAACTCCCATCACACGGCATATCAGGAAAAGCATCATATCACTTATCCATACTCGTTCCATGTACCAAATCCACATGCGATTCATCCAGGTAATATCACCAGGGTTTTAAATTTCTTTTGAAGGAGGATAAATTACTAGAAACTTCCATGATCCACCCTGATTCAAAATATTTTACTACTAAAGTTGATTATGGCTGATGAAACAGAGGATTTTGCTCCAGGTTTTTTATCAAGTGGAAGTTTGTAGCTAAAACTGTATTGCAATCTTCTACTTGTTAATTTGTTCGGGGATGCCGCTGGTGGTTGCTTTGTGAATTTATAGAATGCATGCCATTAGATTCTGCAGTAGTAGTATGTTCTATTCCCTCTACTAGTATATGTATTCCTTGAACTCCTTTTTGATATACTGATTGTTAAGAAGTGTTCTGCATCTAGAATTCTTTGTTGTCCTTTTTTTTTTTCTCAAAGCACAATATTTTTCTGCTTTGTATAATATATTGTCCGTTACTTTTGTTTTCAAGTAACGTGATGCCAATTATGTTTGAGCAATGCCCTAAACTAGAAAACTAGATTGCACAATTTTTTTGGTTGTAAAATATTAGTATGACAAGTAGTATGTTAGTGATCCCCATACTAGTGGATAGCTTTTTGTCTTTTCAGCAGTTGGGAACAAGTTTCTTGATAATCATGTGTTAACAAGATATTGCTCCCAGAACCACTTCTTTGCGAGTGACAATCTCTCTCTCTCTCTCTCTCTCTCTCTCTCTCTCTCTATGCGACGAAGGATCTTGACTAAAGTTAAAAGGCCAAACCACTTGCTTGTGAGTCACATAGGTGGGAATAAAGAGTGATTTACAATTTTGTCCAAGACAAAACAAGGGCGCTGCACATAAGGTTTTTATAGAAATAGAAGTTAGTAATTGGCCACATTATAACAATTTTAATACATTGAGGATGTAATGTGATTGCGAGAAATTTGACCTTTGTGGTGCAAATTGAGAATTTTAAAATCCATCTGTGTGTAAAATGTGATTTGCCTTTTTTTTTAAGATTATGGAAATGCTGATATATTTTTTATTAACTTAGAATATTAGAATCTCTTAATATTTTAGAATCGATGTAACTGTTAAAATAGTGAGCTTGGCATGGTACCTCCCTTTAGTACCAAATTCCTGCCTAGTGTTCTACATATCATTAACCTGTTTGCATTTGCATTTCTTTCTTCAACTGACTAACAACAAATATGTTTATATCAGCACTTTTAGAGGAAACTAAGGAATATCCTAGCTTACACCATTTTTAGCAGGGGCGGAGCTAGTACTACTAGCCTGAGGGGCCATGGCTTACCTTGATTTTTTTATTACCTACATGAATCAAGTTGTTTTTACCCACCCACTTAGAAAACGCATGAAGGCTAAAGTCTTAGCCTTTTCCCTCATTCGGCTGACCTTGGCCCCTCGTTCCTCACACAAAGAAATAAGTAGACAAAGACACAAAGGGGTGAAACCTGCAATAGAGAGAGAATTGACAACAGTGAGAAGAACACTAAACAACGAGCGCTAATTGTGAGTAACTTCAACACTTGACAATTGTGATCCTTCAACAGCTGTGAGCTTCCATCTACTATGTGTTTGTGTCAACTAAGGCATTTGGGACCTTCCATATATATGCTTCTTTGATTTTGGAAAAGTTTGCAATTTATTTTCCAAATTCTAAATTTGACACAAGTAATTAGGCTACTGTTATCTTTGGACTTATTAAATTGTCAATTGGGTTTTAATTTTTGTTAGATTTATGTGCCATAATTTAGTTTTTTGTGCATTTTAACCCTAATACTTTTCATGATTTGTGAGGCCAACAGTGGCAACGATATCATTATCATGCGATACAATTGGAGATGACCTAAAGACGTTTCAATTTAATCCAGTGTGAGAAAGGCTATTGCCGGTGGATATCATTAATGGTGGGTATACTTATGTTCTTGATCTGTGGCTACTGAGTCAGTGATAAAAACTATTTTTTCGGTAACTCTTAATCTTGGACTATCTATACTTATTTGAAATTGCCCAATTTTTCTTGGTATTACATGGATTTCTTGAAATTGTGATAGAATGATCTGAAATGGTTACAGTAAGAAATTGCAATTCTGTGTTTATGTGTTCCAAATTGCTTGAACTTTTGGTCTGTTGTGCACTTCTCTTTTATTGGCTTCCTACTGCAAATTATCTTCTAATACGTTAATGGTAAAATTGAAAAAATAGTTTGTCTAATTAATTACAAAAGTGAACATATAAATTCATTCTATTTTATGAATTTTCTGATACAGTCATGGAGAAGTAATTTGAAAGAAAGTTTAAGCTAGAGTTATCACCTCCTGAAAAAGAGAGGTGATTCTTTGAAAAAAAATTTGTAGGTGTTAATTTGGAGGATCTTCCATTAATTCTTGGACTGGACCTCTATGATCTTAGTGATCGAGACCAAATTCGTAGAGCTTATCTAAAAAGGAGTCCTTATCAAGAATTTGTTGTTAAATTACAACGGTCAAACCGAAGTGGTTTTCACAATTTGGTGATTAGCTTGAGTATAGTGTATCAAAGGATACAACATTTTGTCTATGCTATTTTATTTCCGAACCGGATATTAAAGAACAAGCAACCTTTGTTAGTGAAGGCTTTTCAAATTGGAAGAGAATAAAGAAGCATCAAACTCATATAGGAGACATTAATAGTTGTGAAAACCTACTTCAAAGAAAATGTCAAGATTTATAATTCCACAGCAAGTATTCAAACCATTTTCTTCAAGCAAACCAAGCTTGAAGTGAGCACAGAGCTAGCTTCAATGCATCGATTAATTGTATTCGATTTCTTCTAAGACAAGGGCTTATAGTTTGTTATCACAATGAATTGGAGAATTCAAGTAATAAGAAAATTGAGCTTCTTAAATTTCTTGTTGGTCACAACGAAGACATTAAAGTTGTGCTAGAAAATGCTTGAAAATATCAAGTTAATGATACCTAAAATTAAAAAATGCATTTTAAGTGTAGTTGCAATTGAAATATGCAATGTTATTACTACTTGTCTTGGTGATGTTCTTGTTTATGCTTTTCTTGAATCAAGTGATGTATCGGCAAAGAATCATATAGTTGTTGTATTGCGATTTGTGGATGATGAGGGACAATAGACATGTAATTGAGCACATTTTAGGTTTTGAATGAACATAGTACTAATGCAAGTGCTCTCTCACTTAAGGTTTTTGTAGATGACTTATTTTCTAGACATGGATTGAGCTTGTAGAAATTATGTGGGCAAGGGTACGATGGGGCTAGTAATACGCAAGGTGGGTTCATAGTCTCAAATGCTTATAATGAAGAAGAATGAATGTGCACATAATGTTTATTTTTTTTCATGAATTACAATCGCATCTTGTGGATGTGCCAAAGCATCATAATCTAATTGTGATGCTCTTCCACTGGGTTCTAATGGTGTGAATGTTATGAGAACCTTGTGTAAACGATGAGATATTCTTAGGGAAAAGCAAACCACTGCGTATTGGAGTTATTAAATTTCTCAATAATGATGAGTTTTCGATAAGGAAATGCCTAAATAAGTAAATTAATCATAAACATTTTTGTGATACACGTTAGAGTTATCACTATAATACTATGATCAGCTTGATTGATATGTTCTCATCATGTTTCAGAGAATGGTATAGATGCAGAACAAAAATTGGATATAGATGTTCTTTTGTGTGCGTTTCAATCTTTTGAATTTGTTATCAATCTTCATTTGATGAGTTGTATATTGGGAATCATAAATGAAGTTTCATGACATTACAGTGAAAAGGTTAATATATTGGGAATGCCACAAAATTAGTTCAAATATCCAAGCAACGACTCTAAATGATGAGAAAAAATTTGTGGAGTTATTTGCTTTTGATGATGAGTCTTATTTTTTGTGAAAAATATGATATAATTGTTCCAAATATGGACGATATATTTCAAACTCAACGAAGATCAAGGCATAAAACTCAAGAAATGACAAACTTGCATCATTATTGAGTTGAGTTGTTTTATGTTATAATAGATATGCACCTTCATGGGCTAAAGAGCTATTTTACTGAGTTGAATACGGCATGTTTGAGTCCTATTAATTGATTCTTTGATCTTGAAAAGAAGAAGCTGGCTAATCTTGCCCAATTTTGTACAAAAGAATTTTCTTTATTAGAGTGCATGATACTTTTTGATTTGCTACGTAGTTATATTATTGATGTGTGTTTTAGCATTAAGTTTTCAAACCTGTTAGAAAGTGATGATCTTGCTCAAAAAATAGTTGAGACAAAAAATAGGAGGTATATTCATTAGTTTTATTACTTCTAACTTTGACATTAATCTTACCTACATTGATCCATAAAAGAAGGGATGATCAGTTGGGACCATTAATTTATATGTGGGTGGGAACTTTGACTACAAGTTTTTCCTTCTAATCGATTAAAGTAAACGATACACGGTAAAATTTTCCAATCATATAAGATACCTAAAAATTCATTGAACACAAATGATCAAATGCCAATAAATATGGGGTATAGAAAGAAAAAACTCCAAAAAAAAACGCTAATTAGATAGTTTTAAAGAAAATGAGACTGGCTATAGCCATTTATAATTGACCCAACGAGTTCTCATATTTTGAAAAAATTGCATGATAAATTCCTTATCAATACAATTAAAAATGACTTTCTATATGTACACAATCAAACTATCTATCATCCATTGATCACTATAATTGATTCTTCACAACTTTGATAGCATATGTTGTGTCTACTATGACAGTTGCAACAGGGAAGATTGATGCCAAAGGCACAAGTTAGTAGACTAACTAATGGATATATCACATTTTTTTTGTCTCAACCATTCCTTGAGCAAGATCAACAATTCCAAATACATTGAAAGATCAATGTTAGAGCGCACTTCAATAATATAACCATCTAACTAATTGAGTATCATGAACTCTAGTGAAAAAAATTCTTTTGGATAAAATTGTGCAAGGCAAACTAATTTCTTCTTGTCAAAATAGAGAATGAATCAAAAGGACTCAAATATATCACACAAAGAAGCAATTTAGTGTTCAACTCAATAAAACGGCTCTCGAAGTTGCATATATGTGACAACATAAAACAACTTGACTTGATGGTGTGCAAATTTATCATTTCTTGAGCTTTAAAACTTGGTCAAATTATCCCTATTTGGAAACTGTATCATGTTTTCACAAAAAGAAGAAACATCATCAAAAGCAAATAAATTCACTTAATTTCTCTCAACATTTGGAGTCGTTGTTTAGATACGTAAACTAATTTCATGGCATTCATAATATCTTAATCTTTCATCAGTAATGTCAGCGACAGTTCATTTGTGATTCCTAATAAACTCCTAATTAAGTGAAGACTGATATCAATATCAAAAGATTGAAACAATTCAAAAGAACATCTTTTCCTCTTCTTTGTTCTACATTTAAACCATCTTATGACATCATATTGAGCACATCAATTCTTAATGAGAACATATCCATCAAGTTGATCAGAGTATTATAGTGTGAACCCCAACTTGTATCACAAGTACTCTTAAGACTAGTTTCCTTATTTAGGCCTTGCCCACTTGAAAGCTCATCATTACTAAATAATTCAATAATTCTAACAACATTTTTCTCCCTAAGAAATTATCATCATTTACACTAGTTACTAAGTTGATAAGTGTCGTGATTTGATTTTGATTCTTTGTCATAGCCACAAAACCAATTGTAATTGATGAGAAAAACAATGAACATAATTTGCACATTTAATTTCATTATGAGAGTCGTAAATCTATTAAACTAACGCGCATATTACTAGCCCCATCTTAGACTTACTCATGCAATTTGGGCAAGCTCAATCTATGTCCAGAAAATAAGTCTTCTACTGCATCAAGTGAAAGAGAGAAAGAGAAAGAGAAAGAGAACACTCGTATTAATAACATGTTTAGAATCTAAAAGGTGATAAACTATATACCCTTTTTTTGTCCACAAATCTCAATGTAGTAGTCATTTGCTCTTTAGTTGATACGTCATGAGATTCAACTGGAAAAAAAATGTCTCGCTAAGATGAAGAGTAATAACATTGCATGGTTCAACTGCAAAGATTTTCTAGAGCATTTTTCAAGACAACAATTTTAATGCCTTCATTGTGATTGGTAAGAAATCTAAAAAGGTAAAGGAAGTTTTCTTGAGGACTTGTATTCTCATATTCATTGTAACTAGGAAATGAAAGCCTTTGTTTTAGAAGAAAATGAGCACAATCAACCGATGCATTCAAGCGGTTTTGTATTCACTTCAAGCTTAGATTGATTGCTTGAAGAAAATGGCTTGAATACTTTGGTTTGGATTAAATAAATCTTGACATTTTTTCTAAGTTTGGTTTTGGGAATTATTAATGCCTCATATACGAATGTGAAGCTTCTCTATCCTCTTCCAATTTGAAAAGCCCCTAATAATAAAGGTTTCAATACCTACTTGTTCTCCTATATCCAATTTGAAAATATAATAGTATAGGCAAAGTGTTGTATCTCTTGCTACGCAACACTCGAGCCAATTATAGAACTGAAAAAACTAAATTTGGTTGAACCATGGTAGTTTAACATCAAATTTATTTTGTGTAAAGTTATAGTCGAGAGGTTAACAATAACCACTCCGTAAATAAGTACTACGAATTTGGTCTTGATCGTTAGGATTATAATCCATAATCTGAGGCTATAGTTCAAGATCCAGTGTAATATCCTCCAAATTAATATCTACACAAATTCTCTTTGACAAGAATCACCACCTCTTTTTGCTGGAGGTGATAACTCGAACTTTCTTTTGAATTATGTTTCCATGAATGCTTTAGAAAATTTATAAAGAGAATATATTACATTTTTGTAATTAATGAGAAAAAACTAATTTTCCAATTTTATTATTAGCATATTAAAAGAGAATTTGCAATAGGAAGCAAATGCAAGTACACAATAGACCAAAATTTCATGGAATTTGGAACACAACACACATAATTACAATTTCTAACCACAAATACACAGAATTGCAATTTCTAATTGTCCCAATTTCATAACAATCTAGCAATAATTCAACAGACAAATTCAAAGAATTAAGGGCAGTTTGAGATTGAGGGTTGCTGAAAAAATTATTATTATCACCGACTCAATAGTCGTAGCTCAAGGACATAATTCTGCCCACCATTAACCATATCTACCTGCTATAGCGTTTCTCACCTTAGATTGAATTAATTGTCTTTAAGTCATCTCCAATTACGTCACATAATAATGATATCATTGCTAGTAATGATGATATCGTTGCTAATACTAGCTACAAAAGTCATGGAATGAATTAGGGTCAAAATGCACAAAAAATCAAATTTGGGTTAAGAAACCAAACAAAAATTAAAATGTAATTGATAATTTAATAAACCCAACAATCACAATAGTTCATTTGCTTGTGGTCAAACTCACAATTTAAAAAAAGTTACAAATTTTTACACTAAAAAAAGTACATATACAGAAAGGTCACAGACACCTTAGTTGACACGGTAGATGGAAGGTTACAAATGCCGGAGGATCGCAATAATCAAGCATCGTAGTCACTCACACTCAGTTCTTCGCTCTTTGTTCAGTGTTCCTCTCGACAATATTGGTTCTCCCTCTATTTCGCACTTGTTGTTTTCTCTGTCTCAAGTTCGCTCATTTTTTTGCATGAGGAACGAAGGGCAAAGATCAGCTAGATAAAGGCTAGAGCTTGATTCATACTTCACGTGTCATGAGTGGGGTGGGCCCAGATTTTTTTTTTTTTTTAGGTGCGCACAACTTAAATCACTTAAAACACGTGTCATATATATTGATAATAAAGGTAATAAAATTCTCTCTCTCAGGGTGTATCAGGGCCCCCTAGCCAGTGCTAGCTCCACCCCCGAGTCTAGTAGAGATGACCAACCTAAGTGTGACAAATCAACCACAGTTTACCTACATCACATACAGAAAGACAAGCTGATCAAGCCATTTGAGTGTCTTTTAGCCTTCAATGAGAAAAACTTCAGTCATTACCTATAGTGAAAATGCTGACAATGGTAAGTCTTGTTGTTCCTAGTGTTGGGGACCATCCAGTTCTTGCGATTGGAACTGATGTGAGGACAATCTTTACTGGCCCTAGTGCGGCTGTATTGCAAATGGCCTTTGGGTTTGGGAGGTTTCTCCATCCGTTCTTAGTTTTTTCCTCAAAACTTCTGGGAAGCCCTTTCATGCAGTTGTCCACAGGGTTAAGGGTTACATGTTGCTTGATCATGATTTTGAGCCTGTTATGACTGCTTCCGGGGCCTTGCAATCGTACAATTTGCTTACAAAGCTGTTACCTGGTTGCTGTTTTTGCCTAGTGCGAACATGGAAAGACTGTAATACTATGATGCAAGAGGTTTTTGAATTCTCAGGTTATCACAGGGTTATGGTCCATAAATTTCATGATGACGATCATGTAGAGGTTGTGTTTGAGATGACAAAGCCAAGCCTTGCACCTTATTTTTGTTTACATTATCCAGCCACAGATATCCCTCAGGCTGAATGCTTCTTATTCATCAAGAACAAGGTCCGAAATTTCTGTGATTGTCGAACAAAACATGTGCAAGTGTTTCAAGATGAGAAGCTTCCATTTGATCTAACCTTTTGTGGTTTGACTCTCAGGTCTCCACTGTTGTCATTTACAGTATATGGGAAGCATGAATTCTACTGCCTCTCTGGTTATGGCAGTGGTGGTAAATGATGGAAATGAAGATCGCGAGAGCCCTGATTTTGCACAGGCACACAAGAGAAAGAGGCTTTGGGGTTTAGTGGTGTCCCATAACACTATTCCTAGGTTTGTTGCCTACTCTCTTTGTTATGCATGTGAATTTCCTGCTCAAGTATTTGAAATCCAAGTCAACAAGGAATTGGAATTGGCCAATCAGATCCTTGAGGAGAATATCCTACATAGACAGACACTATTGTGTGATAATCTGATGAGAGATGCACCCCTTGGAATTGTGCCACAAAGCCCCAATATCATGGATCTTATGAAATGTGATGGGGCTGCTCAGCAATTCAGGAATAATATAAATAGGCTTGGAGGCACTCCTTCTGACTTTCAGCACCATGATATAGTTTCGTGGCTTTAAGGGTAGCATAGATTCTGCGGGTTTGAGTATGGTTTGCATGATGCAGGGTCCCCTGGAGGCTGGAGCACTCGCTCTTAGTAATGTAGTGTGTGGGATGCCAGCTGTGAGGATAACTTCCAAGGACATGCTTTTCTGGTATAGTTCTCTCACTGCTGCAGAAATTCAACAGGGCAGTGCACAACATGAGCCGGGGTGACACACCCGAGGTCATCATTTAAAGCTTTCCTAGAAGTTGCTAAGATGAGCAGTTTACCTTGGAAGGACTATGAGATGGATTGCCATCCAGTCTTTGCAACTTATACTGAGGAATGCTTTCAAGGATGCCGAAGCCATGGGTTTAAACATCAGTACAATCCATACAAGGCTCAATGACCTCAGAATTGAAGGAGAGCAAGAACCACAAGCAGTGACAACTGATATGGTCAGATTGATTGAAACAGCCACAGCCCCAATCTTTGCAGTTGATGTGGATGGGCTGGTTAATGGATGGAAAACAAAAACTGCTGAATTAACTGGTCTGCTTGTTGAACAGGCATTTGCTATCACTCGTGGAAGATTCTTCTGTTAATACAGTCAAAAAGATGTTGGAATTGGTTTTGTGCGGTGTGACCTATTCCAGTCTTTCATTCAAATTGCCTACCCATGATCCAGTCCTAAATAAAATTTCAAATTCATTTTCCTATGCATGTGTGTGTGTGCATTTTTATCTGGACTAAGTTGCTGTGCACTGTCATCATATTGACTAAGTGGTACATGAAAATGTTGAGGGGGTATTGTTAGAGCATCCAACTTAAAATGATATAAACCAACCTTGGGTGGTGCTAATCATTCAATGTGGGATATAAGATTTCATTAGAATCAGTTAGTCTGTTTATGTGCTCTGTTGTACCTTGACATTTTTTGCCCCAAACTTGACATCTATTTGGACCTGGAGATGGTGGAATTTACCCCAGACAAAGTATTGGTTGCCTCCATTAGTAAAGTCATGATGACGAGAATAGAAAGGGTATTCAAATATACTGATTTGGCGGAAAATATCATATTTGAAACCTTGTACAGAGACAATTGCTTGTTGATTGCAGTGAATTTTACTCCAAATAGAGGCCGGCTTGGTGGTATTGCTTCTTTGAGTGATGATCGTCAAGGAGAATCTGTTCAGCTTGCACATTTGGAAATCAGGTACAAGCAAAATTGGGCTTTACAGTTTTTCATTACAATGGAGTGCTTAATGGATAAATCTGATGATGGTTTTGCTTTACAGCTCTTATTTGGAAATTCTTTCTTATATGGACACTTGTATGCACAGGAAAAAGTGCTATACATATCTTTTTTTTCCTGGTAAGTCTGTACATATCATTAATGCAAAAAATACATTTGGTTTGTCTGTTCCAAATCCAGGGAACAACTTGGTTTTACAAAAGGAAAAATGAGAGACTTTTAAAATTAAAAACTGAATATCAACTGTATTCATTAATAAAAAATCATTTTTTTCACTTTATAAAATACTAATCATAAGAATCTGCGTTTGTACATGAGCCAGAGACCCATTTTGTCAAGTACCCTAAATTTTTTTTTCGGTGTTTAGAGTATGTAGTAGTAGTGTATACTGTGTATACAAGAAGTTTTCTGCAGCTCTAACCGGTAAAGCAGTTGTCTCTATGTTTCTTTGGAAATGCAGTAGGAGCAGGGGATGGGAATTCGTCACTTGATAAATTCAACTTTGTGGTTCAAGCCCTCTAATTATAACCAAATTCTTTGAGAAGTGGACTGGTAGAACTTCAATGAAGATAAGGAAACATGGAGACCAACCTGTTGGAGGTATCGAATTCAATGAACAAACTCCCTTCAAAGAATCAGAAGGAAGAGTTGAATGGATAATTCTGGTGTTTGATTTTGGCCTTTGAATGGAAAAATATACTTGAAACTTGTCCCACTCATTACTTCTGTCTGATGTTGGATAACACAAGTTGGAGGTGGGTACTAGAAAAATTGTTGGGCCAGATGTTTGGAAGTAATGAGGATGCCTATGAGGAAGGCATCAGCCTTCTCATCAGCAGAAAACTAGTGAAGCGCATGAATAGGGATGTTCAGAACCTGATGGGGAGAGGCAAGTTGACTTCCATCATATCCGTTGAACTAGCTACAGCTAGTTAGCCCTGTTGTGAATTCTCAATTCGTTCTGGTCAGACACGTAGGAAAGGAATTTTAATGCTGTACTAGGATAAACTATGTACTACTATCTTTTTTTAGGTGTTTTCTTTGGTTCATTTGTGTTGCTTTGATTTGCAAATATGCAAATTTTGTGTTTGATAAACTCGGCATTAACAAATTTTAGATCAACATTGTTGTTACTTTATGCCGGTTTAAGCTTTTTAAGAGCATGCACAAGGTTCTTGCTATTAAAGGCTCTAGGAAAAGTTTGATACACAGAGTATTATGTATATTCCCGATTACTATCGTGAAAATAGGGTGCTCATGGTGTTTGTTTTGGTGTTTCATCACGAACGCTTCCTCATAATTTCATCCAAATCATTGTAATTGCGCAACCTTCCCATTATTTGAACTTGAGATTCAGTAGGTATAGGTTTTGCAAAGACACCCAATGATTCTACTTTCCAGAGTTCCACATGAATTGAGGTGGTGTTTTGGAATGGCTCAAAAGAAAGTGTGTTTTTTATACCCATGACTTATAGTAAACGCTTTAAACCCCCAAAAAAAAATGTGTTTGCAACAACTCATTTAAAGTATTTCTAATAAGCAAGAAGTGGTTATTCCATTTGACTAAATCCATAAATGGAAACAAAAATAATAACTCCTAGTTTCTAGAATACTCTTCTACTCAAAGTAATTATATTTTTACATTCACTACAACTATCACCGCCATCACCCGCACTCATCATCATTGTCGACACCAATACATCCCCCCCCCCTCCAAAAAAAATACTACCACTATCACTTCCAATTCTCCCGTACTTTTACTATCAAACACACTCATCACTATTGTCTCACTACCAACCGTTGTTATTGCCATCACTATGGTCAATGTCACCACCATAATAGCATCGCCGCCTCCACTAAAACGATCAACAATACACACACAAATATATAAATCTATTTAAGAGTATCTTAGTCATTGTAAATGTATAAGTGTATTTGTTAATTATCTACACGTGTTTTTAATAAAATATAGCTTTATCAAAGTGTTTTTGTCTAATATTCAAACAATAATTATTTAATAAATATGATTTCTTATAAAATACATTTTATTGAATATATTTTTAAGGAGTGTGTTTTATTAGTCATTCCAAACGGAACATAAATAATTTATTTTAAAATTTTTTCCTAAGAAAAAAAAACTCAATCATTGGAGATTTTCATGAGTTGAACACTTTTACCAAACGATTTATGACATCTCAGGCCTTTATTCAAAATTAAACTTATATATAAATTTTGAATAGAACTAAGTCATAAGCTACAACCCTTTAATTAAATTTATATCGGATAACAAAAATTTGTTTGAAATCAAAAAAACCTCAAAATTTAAGCCACATGTCCATATTCTCATCTTTCAAATGACTCCATTGAAACTTGTGTCATTATTACTGATATCATTGCATATCGTCCAGATTTGAGCAATTTTTTTTTTTTTAAACAAAGACTTTATCAGATCAAAGGGGTAGATATTTTCATGAAATTTTAGAAAATAAATACAAAGGTTGAGAAAAGAGATGGACAAAAAATTTTGGAGGAAAAAATTGAAGAAAATGAAACATTTTAGTATCTAAATATCAAATCCAATTTTGTACTCAGTTTTTTATTCAAATACGTGTAAAAGGGTAAGCTGAACTCACATCGGACTCGAAGTAAAAGGTTGGGGGCAGCTGTCAGATTTTGGAATAAATGTTCTCCTTCTCCAATTCAGCTGTCAGATAGTATTATTTTTGCCAGGCTCGACAAAATTTGACACGGGATTATTAAATAATAAAGTATAATCTTATTAAATAAATGGGTTATATTTGGGTGTGCGATGTCGATCTATTTATCACCCCGTTTATTCGTTTAAATAATTTAAAAATTAAATTTAATAATTCTAACAAAGGTAATAAATCTCAATAAATTATGTGACGTACAGTGAAATCAATAGTTATAATTATTTAAAACTAGTTTTTAACTCTATTAAATTCGTGTAGCATTACTTATAAATTAATAGTTATTCAAAAAAATATTTATAATAATACATGTAGTTATCAATTAGATTAATTTTAAAAAATGTAATAATTTTTTTAGTGAAACCTACAAAAAAATATATATATATATAGGGAAAATTTTATTTTGACCCCCCTGAAGTTTATTACTTAATCAGATGGACCCCGTTGGATATGAAAAATAACACTGCCACCCCCTAGTACTAACGTTAACCTAACAGACCTAATAGCAATGATGAAATGACTATTTCACTTCCCTCACTAAACCACCGACACCATCGCCTCGACAGTGTACCGGCACCATCGTTCTCTCGCTCAATTTAGCAACACCACAGACCACCAGTAGGTCAAATACAACCCATCACAATACCCATATGAGGGAGAGACTGGTAGGCCATCAAAGGGTTTGGTGAACATGTTAAGAGCCCTAAGATCCAAAAATCTTAGATCTGAAAAAAAGTCCTAAAGATCTACAAATTTCATCAAACTCATCTTGAATCTGCAAAATATGGTCAAATTCATCTTCCATCTACAAATCTACAGGTGGAGGTGGCTTTTGATCTTCTGGGTTTAGATCGAGTGGGTTGAGGGAAAGGCGGCCTCCCGCCTGCAGCCTCCAGCCTTCATGGCTTAAGCCAACTGAAGATCCAGCTCGACGTTAAGCTTGTCTTCTTTTTTTTCTTCTTCTCTCTATTTGGCGTGAATCAGCTCAACAAAGACCCAAACGAAGCTCTCTGTCTCTCTCTCTGGTGTGAATCAGGTTGACGAAGATCTCGATTCTCTTTATGAATTGTGTTTGTAGTTGGTTTTAGATTTTGGGCTCTCTTTTATCTCCCACTTCGATTTCAGGCACCCACTTGGGTTTTAGATCTAATCATGTATGATGTGTGTGTGTAATGTAGAATATATTTAACTAGGTAAACGCTATCCGAATATATTCTGTTTGAAGAATGTGTAACTGTGTCAGTTTGTCTTCCGTTACTGATAGGGGGTCTTAGTATAATTTGTCAAACGTAAGTGGATGTATCTGATTAAGTGATAAACTTGAGGACGTGTAAGTGTAATTTATCCCAATAGTAAATATTGGCAGGATTACGCAACCTTCTCTCTATTCTTCCCAGCGGCCGCCAGTCTGTAGTCCATAGGCTCTCTCTTTCACCGCTGTAAGTTTCGGCTGTTGTCATGGAGTTGAAGCTATCGTTCTCGTCCGATAACGCTCCGCTCTCAGTCATTGCGGCAGCGAAGGTCGCCGGAATTTCTCTCTCCATCGATCCAACACTCAGTCCTGGCTCTCCTCCTACGTTGCTCCTCCCCGAAGGGTAATTTCTCTCTATCCTCTATGTATATGCGTGTGTATATACACGAATGAGCTTTTATTAACTCAATCGGTATCCAGATTGAAGCAGGGAACAAATGAGCTTCTCCGGTATCTCGGTGGGAAAGGAACCATTTCTAATTTCTATGGCATGGATGCCTTCGAATCTGGTCAGGTCTGTTAATTTGAACTCTCTGAACTTCGTAGCATTTGAAATATTATCTTTCTTGTTAAATTGTTTTTGGTTTATAAATGTTTGTTGGGTTCAAGTTTGCTAATTTTTCCTTTTCTCATTCTCTTTATAGATTGATAAATGGCTAGAGTATGCCTCTGTTTTTGAATCTGGTTCTGAATTTGAGGGAGCATGTGCCTATGTGGATGAATATTTGCTGCAGCGTACTCTTTTGGTCGGTCATAATCTCTCAGTTGCAGATATAGCAATTTGGTCTGGTCTTGCAGGTTAAAGTTTCAAGCTTTCACCTAATTACAAATTTGAAAACACATGCATATATAGGTTGATTGTGTAGTAAAGCAATCACGCATTTGCATATTTCGAATTCTATGTTGCGTTGATTATCACTCTGTCATCAAGCTATCTGCTTGCTGGAAACCATGAAATAACTGTTACTTATTCAAATGCCGGCACATTGGGTTGTGACACATCATCTCTTATCATGCTAGTGATTGTTTGATGTTTTTCAGCCATGCATTTTGTTGTATTCCTGTTTGAATTTTTGTTTGAAATGGTTGATGATGCAATTGACCTATGATTATGACTTAATGTGATTATTGATCACACCATGGTTTATCCAGTCTAGATAACTAATAACATTGAATGTAATAATAAGAATAACAATAACAATAATTTTGGAGCAAGATATTAAATTTTGAAGAACTTCCTATTGAATGAGCCATCATTTTATATGAACAAGCAACAAGTAATGGAAGGAAGAAATCATTTATTAAATCCTTTCGATACTAGTGGAAATTGCATTGGATATCTATACTGATTGGGCATTTCCCACTAAGTCTTTTGTGTGAATTGTTAATTTTTCTTTCATGGAGTTTTCTCCGTGATTAATTCATTTGTTGAACAGGCCATAAAGGCACTTATTATATGTACTCTATACATACTTATGTATGGTAATATAATAAGAATTTAATTAAGCATATGCTTCATTACCAGGATCTCTTTTAGTTGGATATCTATTGTGATCCACAGCATGATTCCTTTACCTTCTTCCTAGTTCCAGGACTAAATGAATGTACATTCTACTCACTATTTTATCCTTGTTTACGTACGTGCCTAATATTCCTCTGTTTAGCTTCTGAAAATGCTCCAATTTTTTCTCTTTGCAGGAACTGGGCAGAGGTGGGAAAGTTTGAGGAAGTCAAAGAAATACCAAAACCTAGTGCGGTGGTTCAACTCAATATTCGTTGAATATAATGATGCCTTGAGTGAGGTCATATCAACATTTGTTGGTAAAAAGGGCTTGGGAAAGCCAATGGCATCCAAAGTAAAAGGAAAAGAGCAACAAGGTTCTAATCCTGATTCCAAGAATGTAAGTGGCAGTGCTAATGAAAAGGGAAATGTAGGCAATCGGCCCACATTTGAAGTAGATCTTCCAGATGCTGAAGTTGGAAAAGTGAAGTTGCGTTTTGCACCGGAACCTAGTGGTTATCTTCACATTGGACATTCAAAAGCAGGACTATTGAACCAGTATTTTGCTCAAAGGTACCAAGGTCAGGTGGTCGTGCGCTTTGACGATACAAATCCTGCTAAAGAAAGCAATGAATTTGTGGATAATATTCTGAAGGATATTGAAACTTTGGGTATTAAGTATGAGAAGGTTACATATACGTCGGATTACTTCCCTAAGCTAATGGAAAAAGCTGAGGAATTGATTCGTGAGGGTAAGGCGTATGTTGATGATACACCACGTGATCAAATGCAAAAAGAAAGGATGGATGGAATTGAATCAAGGTGTAGGAACAACAGCTCTGCAGAGAACATGATATTGTGGAAGGAAATGATTGCTGGATCTGAAAGGGGTTTACAGTGCTGTCTCCGAGGGAAGCTGGATATGCAGGACCTAAACAAGTCACTTAGGGATCCAGTATATTATCGTTGCAACCCGATGCCTCACCATAGGATTGGGTCTAAGTATAAGATTTATCCCACTTATGATTTTGCATGTCCTTTTGTTGACGCGGAAGAAGGTATTACACATGCACTTCGATCTAGTGAGTACCATGATCGCAATGCTCAGTACTACAGGATTCAAGAAGATATGGGAGCTCGAAAGGTTCTCATATATGAATTTAGCCGGTTGAATATGGTATATACACTTCTCAGCAAGCGTAAGCTTCTATGGTTTGTTCAAAATGGAAAGGTTGATGGGTGGGATGATCCTCGGTTCCCTACAGTCCAAGGAATTGTGCGCAGGGGCCTGAAAATCGAGGCCTTGGTACAGTTCATCCTTGAACAAGTAAGATTTTGTTCTCTAGCAGTCATCAAAAGTTGGTCACAGATACTGTTCAAAAACTGTGCATAAGGATTCCTTTCATTAAATTGGTCCTACATAAAGGATTTTGCGAACTTGAGTTATACTAACATGATTGAAGTGGTTATACGTATTTTGGATCTCTCTTTCTCTCTCTCTTCCTTTCTTAACTAGGAAAACATAAAATGATAGTTTTGGGGTTGGCATCTTTTTTGCTCTCTCTCTCTCTGTTGTGGTAGGGGTGTAGATAATGGTCTATGAGATTGCCATGGCCAGAACCTTCTATAGAAATTTATTTCATAAATCATAATGTCTAACAAAGCTTGTAATGTATGGCATGTACATTATTGTCTTAGATTTATCCTAAAACCTTGAAAAAAGTGGGTTCATAGGTTTATTTTTCCCTGAGGCTTAATCTTGTCCTCTTTTTTTTGTTTTGTTTTAGGGAGCATCAAAGAATCTTAATCTCATGGAATGGGACAAACTCTGGACCATTAACAAGAAGATTATCGATCCTGTGTGTTCCAGACATACTGCTGTCATTGAAGAACGGCGTGTATTGCTAACTTTAACTAATGGACCTGAGGAGCCATTTGTCCGGATCATACCAAGGCATAAGAAATACGAAGGTGCTGGGGAAAAGGCTACTACTTACACAAAGAGAATATGGATAGATCATGCTGATGCTGAATCAATCTCGGTAGACGAGGAAGTGACCTTAATGGATTGGGGGAATGCCATTGTAAAAGAAATTAGAAAGGACCAAGATGGATATGTCACGCATTTAGCTGGGGTTTTGCATCTTGAGGGATCTGTTAAAACCACAAAGCTGAAGCTCACCTGGCTGCCAGACACAAGTGAACTTATAACACTCTCTTTAGTGGAGTTTGACTATTTAATTTCAAAGAAGAAGGTATATGCTGGTTTACTAAGAGCCATTTGCTTCCTATTTGGTGCTTTAAGGTCATTTACATCTCCAGTGCATAATATTCTCTATCATTTTGGATACATGGTACTTAATTTGTCTTTGCGGACTGATCCTACTCAAAAACTGTGCTATAAACAGCAAATGTCTTCATGAAGAAGAATTCCACACATTATATAATGTTTCTTTCTTAAAACGTGAATAAGAAAGGAACTCCTAGTTGATGATGAAATAATGTTTTTAATATTTGTACTTGCAGCTTGAAGAAGATGAGGATTTCCTTGATGTCCTTAACCCATGTACGAAAAAGGAAACTGTAGCCCTTGGGGATTCAAATATGAGGAACTTGAAGCGTGGGGAAATACTGCAGCTGGAGAGGAAAGGCTACTTTAGATGTGACGTTCCCTTCATGAGGCCTTCAAGGCCCATAGTTTTATTTGCAATTCCAGATGGGAGGCAGCAAACCGTGTTGAAGTAAGTCCTTTTGATTGTAGTTAGCCTTCAATGAATGAATTGAGAAAATTTTCCGTGTAACTCCTATTTGATACGTGTCGTCCCCAAGTATTGTTAATGTATACTGATTTAAAGTGACTTGTGAATCGTTTTTCAATTATATCTATCATTTCCCTTCCATTTATTGTAGAATTTGGTAGTACGTTTTGTTTATGGGCATGCGCATGAAAAAGTTCAATAGTTTTTTTTCTTTTTTGCGGTTCATTGAAGGAGACTGGCTGCAGCCTCTTGCTGGTCCAAAACCTGTCCATAGCCAATTTTCCATTTTTGATGCTGTCTATTATATTGGCTTTCTGTTGGTTTAAGGCTTGACCCACGATTCTGAACTTTTGCTTCTACACATGCATTCTGGGGATTGTGTTGTTTGTTGGGGGGGGGGGGGGGGGACCACTTAAAGATGTGGCCAATTTGGACAATGTCACGACTGTTTAATGATGTGTTTGAAAATTTAGCCGTTGTGGGATTCGGAATCAACATTTGTCTTATTACATTAGAGAAAACTTATTATTTTGTCACTCCGTCATTAAAATTTCTAACAAAAGCTTCTGCCACAAAGATGCTTCTCCCCCATAGCTGCTTGCATACCAATAATTCTCACTACTAGCACAGCCTGCATTCTTGGTGTTTTTAAGTAGGAGTATTCTTGGTTAAAATATCACAAGTGATAAGGTTAGTACAATAAGCTTGAATGTGTATCCTTTTCAATTTTTGTTTAAAAATGATTAGGCCCATGCTTGATTGTTTTCGGCTTTGGTGATTGTGAATCTGTGATACTTTCAAGGGTAAAATACAAAATACACTAGTGGTCCCCGAAGTGACTACTTAGTAGATCTCTGCTTAAAGTTTCAAATTTGTTATTAAATGATGTTTTTGTTTACTTTCATACAAATTAATTAATACAAATAGATACATGGCAACCACTATCAAATGGCACATAAGTCTTGCCCGTTACTTATTTGAATGGATGTTAGTGATTTGACCATTTAAAAATAGATTCAAAATGAAAGTGACAAAATTAGAAATATAATGATTAAAGATAATACTGAGTAGGGTGTATTTTATCTTACCTTTAATTTAATAATAGGTTGAGTTTAGGCCAAATCTTCATCACTTTTAATCCGATAAGATTATTGATGTATATCATTTCAAAGGATTATAGATACTATTTTAAATAGTAAGCTAAAGAGATTGGACCTTAAATCGGTTTGGATGAGAAAAACCAAAGTTTGCATTAAACAAACATTAATCACTATGAGGTATTGGTGATGCTTGCACATGATGGAACTCTGTAGTAGTAAGTAGAGGTCTTGGTTGGACCCATATGGGTTGGGTAAGTATTAAGCAAAACTAGTGTTGTTCCCTAATCTGATAAAGACAAAAGGCAAATTAGTGTAACCGGTGGGTGGGAAAAAACAAAGCCTTCATTATGCAACCCTCTCTCTCTCTCTCTTTTCTGACCATGTTGGTAGAGGGGGCCTTTCAGACTATTATACAAGTGATATTAAATTATGAATAAAGGTATCATGGTACTCATCGTTAATTTAAGACTTTGTCGCAAATGTTGTTTCATCGTGCTCGCATATGAAAAATTATAAGTTTTTTTTTAAAAAGAAAGTAGTTATTTATAAGGGTTCATTATAATACGCCCCCTCCAACTACGTCTTTTATTGCAATCAACTAATTGATTTTAAATACTATAACTTGTACCCTCCAAGTTTCAACTGTACTAAATTGACTAACATAAGTGGTTGAACACCTGAAAGAACCATTATATCTTATGTATTATACATTATTTCTCATATTTTTTCTTAAGATACCAATTTTATCCCTAAAATAATTAAAAAAAAAAAGGGTTTCTACTTGGACGGGGAAGAGAATGAGAGCTAACCATTCGAGGTAGTGGAGAATAGAAGGGGAAATATGGATCATGTGAATTTGGTACAAGGGAAAAATAGGTGTAAAGTTAATTATCTCTTTTCAACATAGTAAGGATCACGTGAATTTGATATGTTTAACTTTTGTCAATTTTTATGATCTTTATTGAAAAATATTCAAACTTAAAGGAGGCTATTTATTGAAACTAAAACCTAACGGAGTAAGTTATAAATTATCAAAAGTTGAAGGGAACATTTTGTAATTAACATTATTTATAATTAGGGGTGCAACTTAGACAAATTGGATGGACTGAGCTCAATCTTTTTTTTTTTTTGGGGGGGGGGGGGGGGGGTGGGAAGGGGAAGGGAATTTAAACCCTTGACCTCAAAAAGATAAAATTTTTACAAGATAAGGAATATCATTAGACCAAAGTTCCATTAGTGACCTAGGCTCAATCAAATCATGAATATTACACAACCATGTTTTCAACTTGGGTTCGAACCTCATGTTGAAGTTTGGTTTCAATTCTAGGGTTACACAGTTTGATTTTTAAAATTTTTGGTTTAATTTGGATTAAACTCTTGTTATTAAATTTAGGTTAGGTGCAGATTTGAACTCAAAAACTTGATACCTCAACCTGATTAGTATTTGAATTTATATCAGGTTGAGTTTTTTTTCCCCCTAAACTCAACTCAAGTACTGAATATTTTTTAGTTTCAACTCTGAATTTAGTTTGAATTGATTCGTTTAAATTACCACCCTAATATAAAGTTAAAATGTGAGGGATATTAAAATTAGCTTGGCTCTAAACAATTTCTTCTTTTTTGTTAAAGTCTTGTACCACTAGAAAAGCAAGCAATACATTTAGTTTCCAATTTGCTAGAGTAGCAATGAATCAACATAGAAGAAAACCCATTTAGAAATTTCACTTTTATTGTTGTTCTTTAGAAAACACACAAATTTCATACATTTCTTTGATTCCCAAACATCAAATTCAAATTCCCTTTTATAGTTGACAACAAGAACCAACATACATCCCACTCCATGTTGTGTCTACTTCTTGGGAGCAAACTTTGACTTGATCTTATCAACCTCTTTGGTACCAATTTGGAATGCTTTTGTCAGCACATTATCCGGCACTGCCGGCGTTGCCGCAAACAGCGTTGTGGCGATGGATTGAGTACCCGGTAACTGACTGTTGAATGCGGCAATGACAGAAGCAGGAACCTTGCCATTGTTCTTTTGGAAGTGGACAAGTCCTCTTGGGAATGTAAAGATCTCACCCTTCGTTATATGCTTGGAGATTAGGACATTGGCTGTGGTTATGAACCCTACATCCAATTCACCTTCAAGCACGAAAACTATCTCGGTGGCACGTGGGTGGGTGTGGGGTGGATTTAGGCCGCCCGGGGCATAGTCAATGCGGGACAATGACACTCCAAGAGTGTTGAGACCTGGGATTTTCTCCACATTGGCTGCAGTTACCACAGCCCCATTTGTGTTGTTGGTGAGTCCTGGTTTAGCCAGGCCAGCAAAGAAGAAATCTGCGTCACTTATGTTCGTTTTGCATACGAACCCATTTACTTTTGGACCTGTTTCATGCATATAAACATTATTAAAATTGATGGTATAGCTCTTATTGATAAGTAAAATAAACCCCTTTGTTTATCATTCTGAAATACCAAAACTGATAAAAAGTTAGAGAACCATCTAAATATAAATAGCTAGACCGAGAAAAATAAATGTAGCCGACCCCAAATAGTTTCAGTAGGACAGTTTGTTTATTTGAGCACCATTGAATTTAGTACCAGCAACCCTTTCCTTATTCTACAAAAATCAATCTTTCAATATTAATGTCTGGTTGGTCTGTTGAATCAAAGCACTCATTATTATGGTAGAAATGACAGCTAAGCTACAAAACAGTACCAAAAAGAGACAACACAAGTGGTTAGAGCAGAGCTGACCCACAAACAGATTAGAGGTCTAATTGATCAAGTAAAGAATTTTTCACTTTTTTCCCTTGAGGAAAAAGGTCTAATAAGCATTCAAGGGTACAAATTAATCATAAAAAATATAAAACAGATATTGTTGAGGAAAGCAAGAATGGGGTTTTAATTTACAAAAAGTGTTGTCAAAAATGGAGGAAAAGAGAGAGTTTTGACTTATCAATACCAGAAGTGAGATCAGCAACACAAATATCTTGAAGCAAGTCAGGATCTCCAGAAACTTTGTAAGAGGAAATGGCTGCCATGATCATAAGAATCATCACAATCAGCTTACCAGCACTCGCCATGATTGTAAACAAATATAAGTCTGTGAGCCCCAAAAGGAAAGCAATGAGAGGTGGAAAAGGAAACACAGAAGAAGAGAGAAAAGTATGTTCAGAACATGGGGAGAGAGAGGGAAGTGGATGTCTTATTTATAAGCAGACTTTCAGGACCAGTTTGAAGTAGAAAGAGAGAGAGGTTTTTTGTAATAAAAAAATAGCAAATTAAACTTAAACAACCTAAACTTTGTCACTCATTTCAAATTGTCTTCTAAACTTTTTTTTTTTGCTTAACTTTTTATTTATTTATTTTTTTGGGGGAAGGGGAAAAGGGAGGAGTACTTAAACCCTTGACCTCAGAAAGACAAAACTTTCACAAGATAAGAAGTATCATTGGATCAAAAGCTCATTGGTACCTTAAACTATTTATTTTCTCACATTGCACCGTAAAATATTAGTTTGAGTTTCACACTACCCATCGTTAATTGGTGTTCAATTTTTCATCGCATAGTAGGGCAAAAATAGAATTTGAATTATGGCAACTCCTTGTGGTTAGACTATAAGAGATTTATTTCTCGTGAATACTGTAATCCCGACGTAGATGACCTTTTTTTGACCAAATTGGAGAGGGAATTAATCGAGGTACGAGTAAGTTAGTTCGGACACTCCTAACAAAAAAAGACATATTTATAATTTGGTGACGCTAGGAGATGTAGTCTTTCCCTCCTCAACTAGGTGAATTTTCATTTTGCAATAAAAAATTGGACAAAAATTAACTATTGGGTTATATGAATTACAATCCAAATAATTTAAGGAGTAGTAGGAGAAAACGAAACGTTTAGAGATAATATGAAACGAGTGACATAATTCGGGTAGTCTCAAGTATAATCTGCTGAAAAAATGGGTAGAGGGAGAGAGAGTTAGAGAGTGGAGACTTTGACAGGATCTGTGCATGCAAACGCACGAAACATGGCATCTTCGACCCAAAGTAAAGGG